TGTCCTATAAAGAATGGATCTTTTCTGTCCCAGATTAGACTTTGTATAGTGGAAAGCAAAGAGAAAACAGTAGAAGAAGGGGAAATCCTACCAGCATCTTCAAGAGATACTATAGCATTAACTACATACTGACTATCAGAAAATAAATTAAATACAGAATCTTTAAACATCACAAAAGCTTGTAAAACTGCATTAAGCTCTAATTTTTTAATAAGTTTGTAAGTGTGGCATAACATTCTAGCAATGTGTTTTTATCTTTGTGTGCTAATAATACATCATCCATATAGTGAAATATTTGTAGTTCAGGATTTTGATTTCTAAGTGGCTGGATTACTTTGTTAACATAAATTTGACACATGGTTGGGCTGTTAGCCATCCCTTGAGGGAGTACTTTCCATTCATATCTCTGATCAGGACCTTCATGATTCAGTGCAGGGATAGTAAATGCAAAACGTGGACTATCCTCAGGACGAATTGGAATTGAAAAAAAACAATCTTTAATATCTATAACTAAAACATACCAGGTTTTTGGCAAAGCAGACAACTGAGGAATCCCTGATTGAGCAGGTCCCATAATAACCATCTCATTATTAATGGCTCTTAAATCTTGCAATAATCTCCATTTACCAGATTTCTTTTTGATGACAAAAATGGGAGTATTATGGGGAGATACAGAAGGTTGTATATGTCCTTCTGCTAATTGTTGTTTGACCAGGTCATGGGCTGCTTGTATCTTTTCTTTAGTCAGGGGCCACTGAGGAACCCATACTGGTCTTTCTGATTTCCAAGTAATTTTTATTGTCTCAGTGGCCCTTTCTGAAAATCCAACCCATGTCTGTCTGTTCCTTGATCTATTTGTATTGGTGCTGCTATACCTTGTTCTTGTTTTTCTAATCTTTTTCCTTTCCTAAAACCTTGTCTAGTCATAATAGTGGGTGCATTTTGGTTGATGTTATTTGTTAATGTCAAACCTAATTGATCTAGGACATCTCGTCCCCATAAATTTACGGGAAGATGATCCAATACATATGGCTGTATAGTTCCTTCACATCCTTCAGGATCCTTCCAATCTAATACCATTGCACTTCTATGGGGATTAGTTGCCACTCCTAGGCCTCGAAGCGTTTGAGTGGCTTGTTGTAATGGCCAATGTTTTGGCCATTCTTGACGAGCGATGATGCTAAGGTCTGCACCTGTATCCAGTAGCCCATTAAATTCATGTCCTTGAATATTTAGTTTTAGCATGGGGCGAGAATCTAAATTTAAAGAAAGCATAGCCCAATCTACACCTGTGGAGCCTAATCCCTTGGAACCTCTTTCTACAGTACGACTGGAAAATTTATCATGTAGGCTGGGTATTATTAGTAACTGTGCTATTCTATCTCCTGGTGAAATTACTGATATACCCTTTGGAGAACTGGCTATAATTTTTATTTCACCTTCATAATCGGGATCAATTACCCCAGGACTTATCATAAGTCCTTTTAGAGTAGAAGAGCTGTGTCCCAATAATAAGCCTACTGTTCCTTTGGGAAGAGGTCCTTTCACCCCTGTGGGAATGATTTGAACTCCCATCTCTGGAGTTAGTACTGCTCTGGTGGAGGCGCAGATGTCCAACCCTGCGCTCCCTCTGGTTTGTCTGATGAGGGATCTGATGGACAATGTGTCCTGGGCACTACCCTGATGGGGTTGCTGGGTTCCTCCAGTACTCCGTATATTTGTGGTTTTGGGCCCTGGAGCATTGGGCCCCCCTGTCCATTTTTTGGCAATGGAGCCCGATGCCTTTCTCCACGATATCATGGATAAACACCTGGTCCTTGTTCATTTTTTGATAATGGAGTACCCTCTATGGTGGTTTGAGAACGGCATTCATTAGCCCAATGTCTCCCTCTACGGCATCGTGGGCAAATACCTGGTATTCTACTCCTTTGATACCTAGTTTTGTTAAACCCTCCTCCAATGGGGCAATTCCTTTTAAAATGTCCTGTTTGTTCACAATTGTAGCATGTTCTTGGCCTGGCATCTAAAGCCTGTTTTACTGCAGCTGCCACAATTTGCCCTTGTTCATTAATGTCTCTACATAATTTAATATATGTGTTTAAATCTTCATGTTTCCATGGTCTAATGATATCTCTGCACCAACGATTCGCTTGCTCATAAGCCAGGTGTTTTAGTAATGGCATTGCTTGTTCTGTATTCCCAAAAACTCTGGTAGCTGTTTGAATAAGCCTATCTACAAATTCAGCATAAGGTTCATTAGCTCCTTGTATTACCTTAGATAATTGACCTTGTAAACCTCCATGTCCTTGTAAAGTCTTCCATGCCTTAATTGCATCTACAGCAATTTGTGCCTATACACCAGGATCATATGCAATTTGTTGCTGCTGATCCTCATAAGGTCCCTTTCCTAACAACATATCTAGATTTCTCTGAGGATAACCAGCTGCTGCATTTCGCCTAGCCGTCTCCTTGCAAAATTCCTCATTGGCAACCTTCCATAACAGGTATTGTCCTCCATTTAGCACAGCTTTACACATATTAGCCCAATCTGCTGGCGTCATGTTCAAGTTGTTAATGGATTTGACCATGCTTACACTGAAGGGTGCTTGAGGACCATAGGTTGTTACAGCCTCTTTTATCTGCTTCACTGTTTTGAAATTTAAAACTTGGTAAAATCGCTGCCCTCCTGCCTCAAATACAGGGCATGTTAATATTTGAGATCTTGTCTCAGGATCCCAACTATCAACTGCGGGGGTTGGGGACCTCCCAGCATATGGAGGTGGCCTTGTTAGTTGGACACTTACGTCCTCTGGTGATAGAAAGGTGTTAGTAGCAGTCTCCTGTAGAGGTGGTGCTGTTGGTTGGACACTTACACCCTCTGGTGATAGAAAGGTGTTAGTAGCAGTCTCCTGTTGTAACTTTCCCCCTGATGGCTTTTTCTGTTTTACACTTTCTTTCTCTGTCTGACTAACTTGAGAGGCCTTCTCTTTTACTTGAATCTTTTCCTCTGTCTGACGAACTTGAGAGACCTTCTCTTTTACTTGAATCATTATGTCTTCTCCTTCCTCTACCATTGTCTGAACTGAAGGCTTTGGACTAAGCAAACAAGATACGAACGTCCACAATGGCAATGTGCCAACTGGCAGAGTCCCTGGGCTTTTCTTTTCTATTCTTTTTAAATCTTCACCATGATGGTTCCATTGTGATATATTTAACAACTCCTCCTTAAAAAGCCATGGGCTACATTTTTGTATTGTATCAACGTATGCCCTGACTGTTCTTGATTTTACTGAGATGCCTCCTTCCTCTAACAATTTACTTAACACTCTTTCAGTTTGTTTTTTGCTAATTTCTGATCCCGTATTTCTACTATAATACAACCCAACAAGATGATGCCAAACAAAACCGAGACAGAATGAAATAAAAAGGGAACAACAAAAAGTCATTATAGCCTTTCTATCCTCCTGACATGTGCATCCGTCCTTTCTCCCTATCTGTTCCTCAGACATAAATAGTTTTTCCTCAGATGTGAGCGGTTTTTCTTCCGTCTCACTCATCTCCAGGGACAGGCAACTTAAAACAAAAGTGAAGCAAAATAAAAGAGGAATCTTAAAATGGCTACCCATCCTCTCGCCCTGCCCTCAGGGGCGAGCAGTTTCACTTACCCTCAGTCGCTCCCCGTACGGGCCACCAAATGCCACAGTCTGGCTGGGCACAATCAGGAGCCACTTGTCAAAAGAAACGAACTTTATTTTTAGAACCACACACGCCAAACAAAACAGCCTCTCAGGAAAAACCCTCAGAGCCTCAACTGCCACCACTGGCTTTCCACAAGCCTCTCTCTCCCACACAAGCTTCTCTCCACCTCCCACAATCCTCCTGCTCTTGAGGCCGATTGGCTGGGTCACGTGGGCGGAGCCAAAAAAGTCCCCCAATGAGCAGCTCCGTGGTCTGAAAGGGCAGGGAAACAGCCCAATGAGCATCACCGCAGAGGAGCCAATCAGCTAGATGTTGCTGGGGCCGCTGTGAGCCAATCATCAGCCGGCAGCTGGAAGTTTGCTGGCAGCTGGAAGTTTGCTGGGGCCCCTTCGGCTGTGGCTCTCAACAGTGTCAGAACAAGAGAGAAAGCTTGGTGCTAAAGACTGGCTATTTTAGGACAGGAGTCTTGGTTTCTTGCCAAAGCTCAGTGACATGGAATAATAATAGCTGACGTTTATTGAGCACTTGCTTTGTGCCAAGGACTATGCTAAGCCCTTCCCATAGATGATCCCATCTAATGTTCCAAACCACTCTATGATGTGGGTATCATCATTAACTGCATTTACACATAAGGATTCTGAGGGAGGTCGTGGACTTGCCCAACACATCGTGTACCAGATCAGAGCATGAATCCAGGAGGCTGACTTCAGAGTCTCTTGTATTTCTTGCTGCCAAACCACTAGGCCCATCTGCACCTGCCTCCTCATCTGGAAGGTCAAGGTGCTGGGAACAGGCAGGGTAGACTGGGAGATCCCGAAGGCCAACTCCAGCATGGGTGCTCTGATGGGGCTTCTGCGATGCAGATGCACACAGAGATCTTCAAATGGTGCCTAGTTCAGCTTTCCAAGGCAGTGTGGCCATGCCAACAGAGTGAGCACCTGCATGGGGTAGGGGACAGGAAAACAGGTGCCCTGTGATTGTGATGAGATGGGAGGAAAGTACAAATAGCACTAAGCCCATGTGAAATTTGTAAAGGCCTTTAGGTTAGACCTGTGGTCATGGGGGGCAGGGAGAGCCAAGATCCAGAGGTCTAGAAAATTCTACCCAGATTGACCTCCATTAGGTGTCCAATGGCCTTTGTGTCTCCCTAATTTTTGCTCTATGTTGCACACTCACAGCCTCAAACCCTCCTGGTCACACAGGGGACCTTGAAGGGGACCTTGTCAGGCAGCTCTGGCTCTGGGAGGATGAGGCAGGTCGGTATATCCTCCCAGGGCCCAGCATGTGTGTGTCCTTTGCAGGTCCAGCAACCATGGCCCATTACAAGACGGAACAGGAGGACTGGCTCATTGTCTACCTGAAGTATTTGCTCTTCTTGTTCAACTTCTTCTTTTGGGTAAGTGAACTCTGAACTCTCATCCCTTTTCCAAGCGCCAAATGAGTCAAGCCACCTTGGTGCAAGTTCTGCTGACTTTAAAGCAAGCATGTATGTTTTCCATGAAGCGGAAGGAAAGAACCCCTCTGCAGGCTGGTGTGGGGTCGGCCACATGCATCTGACTAGAGAAAAGCGTAACAAAGCACTATGTGCTGGCTCCCCTCCCGCTGCAGAGGGTCAGGGGCTCTCTTCCCTGTCACTGGTACAATGCCCTGTGGGAAGCAATTGCCTGAAATAAGGCTGGTTTCCACCAAAGCCCATTTGCCTGCCGTGGTTCATATGGTTCTTCAGACCCTGGGCAAACATACGGATGCCTTGGGGATCCAGGACTGCCTCTCTATAGTGACTCCCCCAAGAAACCTGCCTGTTTGAGACTTTCCAGAACAGAGTAAAGGCTATCCACTAGGCGCCATTATCTGGTAACTTGAGAGCAGATTCCCATCAGTCGCCCCCAAATAGCCTGAATGTTTGTATTTTGTATTCCAGCTCACTAATTCTGGAAAGGCAGGTGACACTAAAGAGAGCAGGCTTTGCTCAGCCAGACCTAGGCTGTGCTATCTAGCAATGGTGTGGCCGAGGCCACTTAAGTTGGATGAGTCTGTTTCCCCAGCTACAAATTGGGGATTATTTCTAGACTCTTAGGGTAACATTCAACAAATACAATGTTTTGAAGATATTGAATGCTTATGTCTGAAAATACCATCAAAGCAACAAGCAACTTACTGATTAGGAAGAGTTAAGTTTGTTTTTGTTTTTGTTTTTGTTTTTGTTTTGTTTTGTTTTGTTTTGTTTTTGGTACTGAGGATTGAACCCAAGAGTGCTTAACCACTGAGCCACAACCCCACTCTCTCTCTCTCTCTCTCTCTCTCTCTCTCTCTCTCTCTCTCTCTCTCTATATATATATATATATATATATATATATATATATATATATATATATATATTTTAGAGACAGGGTCTCACTGAATTACTTAGGGCCTCACTAAGTTGCTGAGGCTGGCTTTGAATTCGGGATCCTCCTGCCTCAGCCTCCTAAGCCACTGGAATTATAGGCATGCACCTCCACATCCAGCCAGAGCTAGGTTTCTTGCTATCCCGGGTAAGAGAGCTCTCTTTGACAGAGTCTTAGGAGCATCTCAGAAATGCACACAAAGGTGGACCATTTCTTAGCTTTCAGACCCTTTCCTGCAAGAGCCTGATTAAGATTGGGAAGAATCATGACAGAGTACTGTAGGATGGATGGACACAGACAGGCCAGAGTCTTGAAGAGTCTTGGAGAACAGACCGTTGTCTTTTGATGCTATCTATTCAAAAGCTGAACAATCTAATGTTTATTTAAATGTATTTTGCAAAGTTCCTGAAATACACAATAAAATTATTTGCAGCTTTTGTCTCCCCGGGCAGGAGTTTCCTGGAACAGTGAGGGTGTGGTGATAAAGATGATGGGATAATAAAGCTGTGGAGCTGGAGACTGTAAACCATGTGGGTGTAGAAGGTTTCAGTTCTTAAAGGTAAATCCAGCCGGGTGTTTAAGATGCTTACAGAGCAGGCTTTTCTTTTTAAGAATGTTTTTACTAATCATCCAAGTTTTATGTGCTCACCACAGATAATCCTAAAAAATTGAAAAATATGAAAAAACTTACCCACGTCTCCCTGTCTTGGTTTCCTAGAGCTGCTCTCACAAATTACGGCAAATGGGGTAGCATTAAACAACAGAAATATTTTTTTCTCACAATGTGGACACTAGAAGTCCAAAATCAAGGTGTCAGCAAGGCCGTGCTCCCTCCGAGATGCTGGGTAGACCCTTTCCTTGCTTCCAGAAGCTGCTGGAAATGCTTGGCCTCCTTGGCATCACATCCGGTCCTGCCTCTGTCCCCACTGCTGGCAGTCACGTGCCAGTCTTCATGTGACATTTCCCTCTTCTTATGAGGACGAGGGGCATATTGGATACAGGTCACCCTAATGACCTCATCTTGACTTCACTGCATCTGCCAAGACCCTGTTTCCCAATAAGATCCCCTTCACAGGAACCTGGCAGTGAGAATTCCAGTAGGTCTTCCAGGGTGCAGGGAATGATTCAGTCCGTGCTGCCTGCCATCCCAGAAACAATACTGTTAACACTTCCTCCTGACTTTGCATGGGTCAAGGTGCGAGATGGTGGTAACCTGTACTCTGGGAGTGACGGTGGGAAGAGAAATATTGGGGAGAGTTAAGGGGTTGGAAAGGTAAAATTGACAAGATCGGGCTATTACCAGATGGGCTGAGAAAGAAGAGGGCTCTGGGGAACGTAGCTCCTCAGTGGATGGTGGGGCTCTGCATTTGTGCAGGGGACCAGAAAGAGAAGCAGTTTGGGGTGGGGTGGCGAGGTCAGAGGTCGGCATGTGGGTTTGTGTTGCCAGGAGACATCTAAGTGGAGACACACACTGGGAAGTTAGTTCATGGCTCCAAAACTCAGGAACCAGCCAGGCCAATGCCACAGACTTAGGGACATCCCCACCTGGAGAGCAATTGCAGCCATGAAAATAGATGAGAACTGAGTGGACAGGGACTAGGAAGGGAGGGGAAGGAAGAACGAGGCCTGGGGACTCTCCAGGGGCCAGAGCTGAGTCTAGGAAATCAGAGATCCTGGGTCAGCCTGAACTGAGGGAGCTCCTGAGGTAGGGGGCTGTTAGTGCTGAAACCAGGAAGCTCCAGGCAAATTGGGATGAGCAGTCAGCCTTGAGCAGCCAGAAGAAGGGGGTCTACCATGGAAGCTGCAGAGGAACAGCCAGAGAGGGGGTCATGAAGCCAGGAAAAACCCAGATCCGAGAAGGTGGAGATTGGGCAAAGCCAACAGTGTGGAAGGTTCAGGAAACATGGAGCATCCTCAGGCCTAGGAAAGGCCAGGGGGCTTAGCAACAGAGAGCAGCAAATGTGGGAACTGTTTTGTGGAGAGTCAGGGTGGAAAGAGTGGGACTCCGTGTAGACAGCTTCCCCCAGACACACTGAGAAGAGAGGAGGCAGTGGCTGCGTGGTCAGGGGCCTGCTGGTCCTTTGGTACCTAGGGCTATTGTGGGATGCTCAACCCAAAATATTTGTGAAACAACTGGGGCCTTGCGCATCCTGATTGTGCTGAGGTCCCAGAGGAAGCAGTGGGCAGTAGACATGGTGACCGCCCCCAGGGGCTCCACCAAGCCAGAGTGGACTCAGTGTCCATCTGTGTTTGTGTTGCTTTGGGGGTGGTAAAGAAAAAGACATGTGGGAGGCAGCACGGGCAGATGGGCAGCAAGCATGTCACCAGAGCAGCTACCGATGAGGGGAGCCACCCCCACACAGCTCTCCCAGTTTTGAGTTAAAAATAGCCCTGCCTGGGGGCCTGGCTGGCCATGGACCAGTTTCCCAGGGGCTTGTCAGCTGAGTCTCACTCCCCTTGTGGGAGTGGTGGTCTTTAGAAGGTTCTGGCAAGGTTTCCCTAGACCTGCTGCACAGTCCTCAGAAGTAGACAGGGGCAGACAGACATGTCCCATCTCCTGTCTTGCTGCCTTAAGGCAGAGCACAACTTTACAGTACCCAGGTCCCTGAGAACTTACCATAACCCACCCCTCCCTCCTAGTGGGAGGGCATTGTCTAGGGAGGCAAGTGATACCTAGGTATTCTAATACCAGGTCAGTAATAATCATGACCATTTAAAAACTCATTCCACAATTTGTAATAACTACCTACTGAGTGTGAAGCACAGTTCTAAGTTCACATCACGGAACAGAGTTCTCAGTTTTCCTGGAACTTCCTGCCGTGGGCTTCCTCTGTGCTTGCCTTTCCACCTGCATCACCCTATTCAAAACTCCCAGCCCCCCTTTGAGACTATGAACAGCTGTATTAGAGTCCCATTTTATAGCGTGTCAAGCAAATTTTCCAAAGTCCCACAGCTGGAGTCTGCTCTCCCTGACCCTAAGCCTGAGTGTGCTGAGCCACTATGTTCTGTGACCCCCAGCCCTGAGTCTTGCACTACCCCCCCCCAATTGTCTTTGGGGCACACATGGATTATCAAGGCAGCAGAGCATGCTGGGAAGTCCCAGGCTCTAGTGCGGGATCAAATTCAGATTGCATTATTTACTTGCCATGGGATTTTCAGTGTAAAGAATTGGATTAGGTCTTCTCCAAATCCATATGCTAAAGCCCTAATACCCAATGTGACCATTTTTGGAAATGAGGCTTTTAGGTCATAATGGGAGGGTCTTAATCCAATAGGGATGGTGGCCCTTTAAGGAGCAGAGCTCCAAATGCAAACACTAAATGAGGACAGGGCAAGAAGGCACTGCCATCAAGCCAGGAAGGGACCAGGAACTCAATCAATGGGACCCTGTTCTTGAACTTCCAGCCTTCAAACTGTGACATCAAGTTCTGTTGTCTAACCCACCCAGTCTACAGCATTTTGTTATGACAGCCCAGGCAGACAGACTGAGACATCGGGCAAACAACTTAATCTCACTGGGCCTCACTTTTTTCATGCATGAAATAAGAAAGGCGATACTTGTAAGAATCAGGGTTTCAAATTCAGGAAAACATTAAGCACATGCTCAGTGCTTAGCTGTTATGCTGACTGTTGTGATAAGATGCCTCGTCTCTTCAACAGCTTTCTCCATCCATAGAACTGTCTCTAAGACTTCCAGCATCAAGAGACACAAGGAAGCATAAGAAATGCTAATGCAAAGCTTCATTCACAGAACTAAACTTCCCCCTCACAGTGTGTGAAGGACTCTGAGATTTTCTCTGGTCTTTTCATGATTACTATTAGGTGCACGTTATATTTATTTCACAACCCTAATGGGTCACATTCCAAAGTTCAGAAAGCCCAGAACAGTCCCCCCTCCACCCAACCTGGTCAGGACTTGGGTGACAGCTCTTCCTTTTACCCCATCCCTGAAGCCCCTTTGGATCAGGAACCAAAAATGTCACTACTTTCCTGCTTCCTTCATGACCCT